AAGAGACCAATGGAAAACTGTTTCATTTGATAAACCTTCTGTCCGTAAAGTTAGAAATCCTAAACCTATGAAATCTACCAATAAATCCACAAAACGTCAACAACTTGAATCGCCCACATCCGAACACCAGGTTATTCCTAATAACAATTTATTATCACCTAAATTTCTTGATGATTTAAGTGATATTGATATGAATTCACCAATTTTTAACCTTGATTTATTTACTGACTGGACCGATTTCTTTAACAATCAAAACACCTATCCTAGTCCTGATTTATCAATAATCTCCAGCGGCAACAGTTCTCCTAGTTCAAATGATCTTGATTTTCCAATTCAACAAGTCGATGATGATATTGTAAATAACCTTTTATTTATTAGTGAAAACCAGTCTCCAATATATGATAGTCAATACGGACTCGGAATTTTCGATTTCTCTAACGCTAACGACGAAATAAGTTTACTTAATCCACATGAAATATTTGATATACAGAACAATTACATTGTAAATGACTTGGTCAATTCTAATGACCAATTATCTTTCTTGCCTAATTTATCAAATACAACAATAAATCATGATAATTTAAGTGATGCATTAATTGCTTATGAGATGGGTTTTAATTATCCTATCTAAGAAATTTCCTAATTTAAGAACAATAATTATGAACTTTTAACACTTACGTAGATTAAGCTTTATGGATACTATTTATACCTCTATGTTCTTTATGAATATTATATTTTAATTCCAATTTCTATGCAACAATTATGAAGAAACTATGATATAATTTTAAATGTATATAAAAGTTTAATATAAATTATATTGCTATTTGTACAGACTTACATACTATATAATATAATAATAAATTCATACAATAAATTTATTTTGTTGAAAAAATATAAGTACTTGTAAAGTGAAACTTGAATCTTGATGGCTACTTAGTAATTTGACTGACTAGTAATATTTTGTATTTCTCCCGTCTATTTTTTCACAAGTTTTTTTTTTGATTTGTATTTTAGTATTTTCATAATAAGTTCTCACTATGGTTATATTTATATTCGTCGTCTGTTTAATCAAGTATTATACATTACAAAATGTTTGATGTATTGTCAAACTAAAATTTGAATATTTTATTTCTTGATTCTGCCCGAAGTGATTGACTATTAACAAACTTAAATTTTTTGATATTAAATCTTGTACATAATGTGACCTTATATTGTGTCAATTTGTGTTTTCTAATCATGTAATTTCAAGTGGTATATATTATTTTTCCAGCATAATGTTAGTTCTCGAAGATGACGAATGTGATACTTTTGGCACGTGAAATTACCAGCACGACGTATGTAAGCCAAGCTGAAAAGTGATTTTTTGCCCACAGGAAAAAATAACTACACCAAAAACACTTATAATAAATGAAAGGTTTAACGTTAAATAATAAATCCTTGAAAGTCTTAACATTAGGGTTAGAGGTTAAGGCATAGTATATATCAAAATTTAACAAGGAGTTTTTTGTTAGAATGAGAAAGGCAGGTTTATAGGCAAGATTTGGATCTTACAAAAAGTGAATGGTTGCCTGATCCTGAACTTTCGACCTAGTTGTCACATCAAAATTGTTATAGATCAAAAATTTTACTAATGAAATCACAGCCATGATTAAGTGAAAAATGTTCCTGGGTCAATTTTACTGTAGTGCGAGTCCATTTCTCTAAAAATTTCTATTTTTGGGAGTCGCTTAAAGCAGGTACATCACGAAGCTTTCCGATATCTGCGGCCAATCAAAATCACAAACTTCTTGTTTACATGAATCTGTAAAAAATGAGAAAAATACAGGCAACGAGTGTCTAAACCCATCTTGGTGGATTAATTAAAAATATTAGAGGACGAATTTACATATTATACTCTTCAAATCCTAGCCTCAATCTAATTCTAATCTTTTAAAGGTAATAGTAAGTTCGCGATGTACCCGCTTTAATTATTTGAATGAAAAAGTTGAAAGGTTAATTCCAGCCAAGAATCATGCAAACGATTATGTAATGCGGGCCAAAATTTCGTAGATCACGACCGTTAGCCAATCAAAATCGAGAATCTACCGTGACAAAATTGACACGGTGGTTTCATAGGCAAGGTTTTGAGCTACAAACTATTCTCATTACACCTAATTCAGATTGACTTCCAATTTGACTATCATATAGGCTAGTAATATGAATATATTTTTTATTTTATTTTATATTTTTTTTTGATATTAAAGACGAGACCCTTAATATATTTTATAAAAAGAATTAATACAAAATACAATCAGAACTCTGTAAATGCACTGCTGTCAGGAACATAGGAAAATTTTTTGAAAATAGTGCACTTAGAGAGTGTGTGCATTTATAAAGTAGAAATTATATAAGTTGGGACCAGGTTCTTACTTAGTCCGTGCATTTATGTAGTTCTGATTTTAATTATTAAATAAATTAAGGATTAGTTTGATGTTAGAGCAGAAACTTTATTTAAGATTGTTTCCGTTCATTTATTATTAGTATTCTAGAAATAGTTTAAATCCCACTTTATTTTTTTTATTTTATTTTTTTTTTGATTTATAGTATTATACATTGGGATTCATAATAAAATTTGAGTTGTTAAAATTTTATCTGTGGCAGAATAAGTTTTAGATTGAAAATATCGAAATTTCATGGTAAAGACTTCTAATCTCAAATTTGTCACAAGCATAATTATTTTTATATCATTAACTCATTTTATTCAATGATTTAATTAATTTAATTTAATTAATATTAAAGTTTAAATTTTTGATTAACCAATAAAATTTTTACAATTTCACGCCTCGAATTTTTTCGGTTCGGTTCGGTTATCCGATTAAAGTCTAGCCGGTTCAGGTCACTACATACAATATACCCTGGGTAGAGATCCTCATTTTCTGCTGCGTTAGACCCCAAAGCGATAAATTTTTTAGAATTATGTTGCAAATTATGCGAATCAAGTAAAATTATTCATTTTTTATATCTTAAAACTCGGTTTTAACACATTAAAAATAAAATCAGTTCCAAACTATACGACTAGAGGTGTGAATGCCTGCAAAAAATGCACGTAACTCATTATAATTACAAACTACGGTATTACATTCACACCTCTAGTTGTGACCATTTATCAAAAGTTACATCTAATTTTTACGCGCATTTCCGAATTCTCACAATACCAATACGACTTCCAATAAAAATTATAATTATACTTATTCTGCTCTAATTTTACCATTTTATGCGCAGATTATGCTCTATTAATTAGCCCTGATATGCCAATATGCTATAATCTGATTTATGCGTAGATCAAGGTGGTTTGTTGTCACATGGAATGTAAAATACCGGGTCCTTTGCACAGCACTTTACGGTACTCTAAACAAGTTTGCCAGAGAATTCTATCAATATGGCGCACCAACCCAGTGCACATTTTCCGGATGTTCTATATTAAAATTATTACGTATATCGATATTTTGCTTTTATAATTCTAAGTTTAATTCTAACAATTTTGCAATTGTCAAATTTATGCGTATAATAATATTATTTTAGCATTTAGATTTATTAAGTTTAAATTGCTACGTAGTCATGACCAAATGACCACAATAATTTTAAAAATATTTCTGTAAACAAACATTCATTATTCACTCAAGTTATTTGCCAATACATTAATGGCTAATAGATATAGTGCGAGTAGAATATATTATATGAATGTCTAAATTTTGCACAATAAATTTTCCTAACCAAATTTTATTCTGGTATTTTTAAATTTTTTATTATTCTTAAAAGTCATTTCCTTATAACGAAATCTTATTTCGCTTAAGAATATTATAACTTTAATTATTTGGTCATACTTCAGTACTTCATAGTACGTCTAAATAATCTCGCAACAATATGAAGACTGAATTAGGTCTTTTTGAAAAAACATAGACTTAAAATTAAATACATTGTCGACTATACAAATCATTCAAGTAGTCGTGATAAAAAACGAATTATTTAAAAAGAACATTTATAACGAAAATTGAATAATAAAAAAAAAGAATAAAAAAAAAGGGACCAACTAGGTATCCATTTGAAGAAAAAAAGTCACATTTCTATACATTTTTGGGCTAGTCGGCTAATCGTGAAAGAAAGGAATGAACGCAGTCCGACTGCCGGAAATGATTCAGGCAAATAGCTACAAACTTGCAGTTTTGAGGTGCTTCAGTAGCCTCATCATAAGGATTAATATAAGGATGTGGAATTTCGTGATAGAAAGAACCATTTGAATCGTTAGTCGAAAAGGATGGCATATTCTGATCATTATTTGGAATTATTTGATCATGAAAATTTGATGAAGGTTGAATATTTTGGAAATTTTCAGTAGTTTTGATAGCTTCGGTAGTCTTATAAGGGTTAATATTAGTAGCAGTAGTATGGTTAGCAGAAAATGAATTAGGGAAGGATGTGATGTTTTGAGCATCATTTGACATTCGTTCATCGTGAATGGAAGGGGGGAAATGATTGGTAATGAGTGCATTTTGGCGTGCTTTATCAGTAGACTTTCGACCACGTTTATTACCCGGTATAAAAATACAAGGCTGATTTAGTTCATTACAGTTTGTACATTTACTTTCTCCAGAAAGAACATTGCATTTTTTTCGCTTTCTTCGACATCTTATACATGCTACAGTTGTATGATTGCGTACTTTTTGCTGAGGCATTATTTTATGCGCGTAAAAAGTAACATTGAAATAAAGTACAGTTCGAAGGAAACAACAGTATTTATATTAAAATTTTGCTCAATTGCTACGTTGGTGATTTTACGTCACATTTTTTTCGCTTTACTAATAAATTGACATAACTAATATATACATTTACATATAAGTCAACCACTCGGATTCATAATAAATGCTTCTTTGTACTGACGCTGGTGAAATTAATTTCACCAATTGATATAAATAAATTTCACCAATTGATGAAATTATTTCACCTTCTAGTTTAATTTCACCAGCATTTTTATTTGTACGTATACCAAATGTGCGACTCTAGATCATTTTATCTACTTCAGAGATAAACTTAGTATATCTTCAGGTATCTATACTTTCCGGTAAATCCAAAAATAACTGTATAAAAAATAAAATTTTAAGTGATCTTAAGATTTTTGCACACAGATTTTATTTTACACACGTAAAATTTAAAGATTTATTGTTATATACTGTATATAATGCACATTAAATTTAATATTCATGTAGCGCACATTAAGACTTGAATTTTATACACTGTTCGCGAAACGCGGGATATCTCATACTATTATCTGGCAAACTCATTGTGATATTATACATATGATGTAATCATGCATTCGATGACGACTTGTGATCATTATCATAAATTGGTGAAGCGTTTCAAAAATGGACAAATAATTGTCTTCACATGCCATTTCATCAAATATTTACGGTACTGTGCAAGAAGAAGTCTGCACGGTTTTGTTGATCATGATCTAAATGTAACTTCAAGTTATAGCATAATCTCAATGAATTATATAGTATCAATTAACAGGCTCCAATTGTAACTTTCAAATCGCATTATTAATATGCATGATTTGCTTGTAGTATGATTTTGTGAGACTATTCACCTTTCAATTATTTCTTTAAATGACAAAAAAATTCATTACATACAGACCAGAATAAAAACATTTATATTAAATGGTTTTAAGATTCTTCAGTAGAATTTTCTAACTTGAAATATAAATGCATGCCAAGAAAAAATTTACTATAAACTTCAAATTAAACAATCATAATCTAATTATCCTAAGGAAGCGTTTTTGATTAATATTGAATTCACTTAAAAACTGCAATATGTATGGTAATCGGTTTGAGACTCATAGTTTTGTACGTATGAATATTAATATGATGACAAACGTCCGATTTGCCACATCCAAAATGTTATCATATCAGATGCCCGATTTGTCACGCAGATCAATTTTCCTCTAATCGATAGAAATCAAGCAAATTGACATTTTTTAAAAAAATCAATACCTTACCTTTCACAGACATATTTTTATGAATTTAGAAACTAGTTTGATTATTAGTTTAATTATTTAATATTCAAAAGAAAGCTTGGGATCTAAGCTTTCTTTTAGCTATTGAATAATCAAATTAGCTTCAAAATTCATTGAGATATGAGCTGTGAAAGGTAAGGTATTGATTTTTTAAAAAAATGTCAATCTGCCTGATTTCTATTGACCATATGATCGACCCACTTTTAATAGTGGTAGGCTTTTTCAAACACCATTTTCAAGAGTTCTTAAAAGGAAATCACATTAACAAGACTAGGTACGACGGTTTAGCTACATAAATACTTTATTATTTTTAGAAAAATAATAAAGCTAAGATTTAAGCTTTCAAAAATAGCTTTTCATTCTATTTTATATAGTACTTCAATGCAACCGGGATAATAAAAATAATTAATAGAAAAGAAATTTGCAAAACAATATTCATTTAAAATGTTAAAAAATATAAATAATTGACATATATTAAATATTAAACAAATATAAATATAGGCTGTATCATCACTTCTGATACATCATATTTTATAAAATAAATTAAAAAGCT